GGCTGGGCCAGGCCCAGACCGGGAGGCCCACGCCCGCATACCCAGACGGCCCCGCTGGCTGGCCTGGGCCTGGCAGCTGGCGCCTCCAGGGCTCACAGCGCCCTCTCTCCCCGCAGGCTGGAGCAGCCCTACTTCAGCGCCAACGCCCAGTTCTTCCAGGCGCTGAGCCAGTGCTCCTCGCTGCAGCGCCTGTGCCTGGTCTCCCGCCGCGGCACCCTCCAGCCCGATGCGGTGCTGGCCTTCATGGCCTGCTGCCTGCACGTCGTCGTGTGCCACCTGTTCACCGGCGAGTCCCTCGCCACCTGCAAGAGCCTGAAGCAGTCGCTCCTCCGCAGGTGAGTGGCGCGGGTGGGTGTGGGTGTGGGCGCAGGCGCTGGCCCGGGCACAGGGGCGCCTGGAGGCCTCGGGCGGCACTGCCGTCCCGTGGCCTGGCCCCTAGCCGTGTCTCCGTGCCCGCCAGGGTGTTGCGGAGGTCAAGAGCGCTGGCAGTGGCAGAGTGAGAGCAGAGGGCTCGGTCTCCTGCAACCCAGCCTTGCTGCCCTGGCCAGGCCCTTGGCCACGGGGTGGATCCTAGACCGCTTATGCCCCCCTCCCCCAAGCGCAAAAGTGGTTCTTGATTTTGCGTTCGTTTTGCCATGAATGTTTCTCTGGCGTGTAAAATGCACACTCCTGAATTATTTCCCCACCGCTATCTTATTTTAAAATGATTTTCGAACAGCTAAAACAAATAGTTTCCAGATACCCTTGGCCCGTCTTCCCGGATTGTGACATCATGGGCACCCATAGTGCAGTTATCAAAATGGGAAATGAACAGGGCGGTACCCACGAACCAATCCGCCCATCTTAGAATTTTGTCAGTTTCCCCACTGAAGTCCTTTTTCTGTTCCAGGATCTGATCTGGGATCCGATTCAGGGCCTGTTGCTGTGTGGACAGGTCGGTCTCCTTAGTCCCTCTGCTCTGTGGCAGCTTCTCGACCCTTCCTGGTCTTTCAGGACCTTGATGCTTTGGAAGAGCACTCCAGTTGTTAGTAGAATGTCCCTCAGTTTGAGTTTGTGTGCTGTTTTCTTACGATTAGATTGAGGTTTTGCATTTTTGGCAAGAAAACCACAGAAGAGATGTGTCCTCAGCACATCCTATCAAAGCTACATGGTGTTGCAACGTCTCATTCCTGGTGATGTTAACCTTGATCACTTGGTGAGGGTGATGTCTGCCAGATTTCTCCACTGTCAGGTTACTGTTGTTCCCTAATTAATAAAGATCCTGTGGGGAAGTACAATGGGGAGTATGTGGATGCCCTGTTTTTCGCCCTGCTTTGCCCACTAAGTTTCATATCCATTGATATGTCTTCCCTTAGTCTGCTCGGGCTACTACAACAAAAATACCATGGACTTGGTGGCCTAGACAGCAGATGATGATTCTCCTAGTTCTGGAGGCTGGGACATCCCAGAACAAGGTGTTTGGAAGGACCTACCTCCTGGTTTGCAGATGGCCACCTGCTTGCTGGGTCTTCACCGGTGGAGTGAGAAAGCTCTCCTATGTTTCTCTTCTGTTTTTGTTTTTTTTGGAGTCGGAGTCTCCCACCATTGTCCAGGCTGGAAGGCAGTGTTATGATCACAGCTACCACAGCCTCACCTGCTGGACTCAGGCAGTCCTTCCACCTTAGCTTGGAACCACAGGTGTGGTTCAGTAGCTAGAACCACAGGTGTGTGCCACTACATCTGGCTAGTTTTTTTTTTTGAGTGGAGTCTCATTCTGCTGCCCAGCCTGGAGTGCAGTGGCACACTCACGGTCACCGCAGCCTTGACCCGCTGGGCTCCAGCAATCCTTCTGCCTCAGCCTTCCAAGTAGCTGGAACTACAAGTGTGTGCTACCACGCCCGGCTACATTTCTATACTTATCTGTTTGCATTTATATTCAAAGCAGGTCCATAGTGATCCCTCTGACTTCAGCCCAACAGCACAGGCGCACCCTAACCTCCTCCCTTCTTTCCTTGCTAGTTCTTTCTCACCTGACTCGAGCCACGTGTCTGCCGGTTTGTTCAGCCCTAGTATTTGCCCAAAGCTATTTCAGAGTTGTTAGCCCATATCCTGGGAGAAACAGACGTACTAGTTAGAGTGTGCCGTTATGTGCAGATTTTGTCTTTATTCTCACAGCCTCCAGTCAAGGTACTGTTCTTCCACGATTACTTAGGTCTGTTCTTTCCCTTTCCACCTCCTTAGTGTAATTTACTTCATTTGTAACAGGCTCCTTTGTTACTGTGTGATGTTCCATTTCATGGCCACTTCGTGTCCTCATGGATTTTATGTATTTGTTTTTTTGGCATGTGAAGCCTTGCTGTGTAATTCTTCAAGACGTGTGTGTGTGTGTAAATGTCACTCCCTGTCCTCCTCCCTGTCCCCCGCGTTCTATTTCTTACCATCCCATGGATATCTGTTTTGTTGTTCTTGTTGTTTTAGTCGGAGTCTCTTGCCCAGGCTGGAGTGCAGCAGCATGGTCATGATGATCACAGCTCAAGGCAGGCTCGGCCTCCTGGGCTCAGGTGATCCTTCCACCTCAGTGTCCTGAGTAGCTGGGACTATAGGCACGTGCCATCATGCTCTGCTAAGTCTTGTCTTTTTCTTTTTCTTTTTTTTTTAAGTTGGAGTCTCACTTGGTCGCCCAGGCTGGAGTGCAGTGGCACACTCACAGCCACCGCAGCCTCGACCTGCTGGGCTCTGGTGATCCTTCCGCCTCAGCCTTCCAAGTAGCCGGAACTACAGGCATGCGCTACCACGCCTGGCTAATTTTTAATTTTTATTGTAGAGATGAGGTCTCGCCGAGTTGCCTGGACTGGTCTCGAACTCACAGGCTCAGGCAATCCACTCACCTCCGCCTCCCAAAGTGCTGCTTTGCCCACTAAGTTTCATATCCATTGATAGGTCTTACCTTTTTGTTTTTCGTCTATGTTCAAGTTCTTTGACATGCAAAGAATTTTTTTTGTAGTGAGGAAGACATTTTTTAAATGCTTTTTACACACATGAATCTAAAATTTGCCATTCTGTGTCCACAGTTATACAACTGTTACCACTGTCCATTTCCAGAGAGCTTTTTATCTTTCTGAATGAAAACTCTGCACCCGTCAGGCAAGACTCGTCCATTCTCCCACCCCAGCTCCTGGCAGCCACATCTGCTTTCTGTCTCTGGAAACTGAGGCAATGATCTTTTCACTCTGAATTTCCTGTCTCTGCATTTTGCTGAGATTTGGAAGTAGTGGTCACCTGGCAGTGGTTGCAAGTGCAGTGGTAGGTTGAACATGGTCCTTCCTCCCTGTGGGGTGGCCTCTCCGCCTCCCTGGCCTCTGCAGTCAGACCCCATGGAGAAGGCCCACGTCCCCCGGCCAGCTCCTCCTCAGCCGGTGCCGTCACTTCTCCTTGTGAGCGGGCATCCTGGAGCTTGGCACCCCGCTGCTGAGCAGGAGGACGCTGAGCACCCAGAACGTGGTGCAGTCAGGAGGGGTGACCGGAGAGAGCGTGGCCTCTGGGTGGCTTGGGGGCAAAGCCCTCAGAGACCTCTCGGGAGGACCTGCCCCTGGTTGGAGAGGGGAGCCAGGCTCCTGAGAGGTGTGCGCCTGGCCAAGAGGACTGCGGCCCCTCCCCTGTTGTTCCTGTAGGTGGAAGAAGGGCTAGGACGGGGCCCCAGCAGTTCACAGAGTTTTGGGACGAGCCCGCAGCCGCGCTGGCTGGACTTGAGGGCGGTCTGCCGTCCTTGGCTCGCTGCCGGATTCCATAGGAGTGATCCTTCTTGAGATTGCCACCCTCCCTGACTGTAAAAACAACGTGTGTTTATAATATTTTTAAAAATTGAGACTGCACGCCAACCTGTTTTTAAGTGAAAGTGTTCCCCATGGTTCTACCACCCAGACATTGGCATGGCTGGCAGCCTGAGGCTGGGCTTTCCATTGCTTTGTGATCTGATTTTTTTTGAGTTGGAATCTCACTCTGTCACCCAGGCTGAAGTGCAGTGACACGCTCATAGCCACTGCAGCTCTACCAGGGCTCCGGCGATCCTTCTGCCTCAGTCTTCGAAGTAGCTGGAGCTACAGGCATGCTCCGCCACACCTGGCTAATTTTTTGATTTATTGTAGAGATGAGGTCTCGCCAAGTTGCCCAGGCTGGTCTCGAACACCTGGATTCAGGCAACCCAAAATGATGGGATTACAAGCGTGAGCCACTGCCTGGCCTGTGATCTGATTTTTATTTTTATTTATTTTTATTTTTTTTGGAGTTGGAGTCTCCTTCTGTCGCCCAGGCTGGAATGCAGTGGCATGCTCCCGACCACTGCAGCCTTGACCTGCTGGGCTCCGGCGATCCTTCCGCCTCAGCCTTCCAAGTAGCTGGAACCCACAGGTGTGTGCTACCACGCCTGGCTAGTTTTTGATTTATTATAGAGACGAGGTCTCACCAAGTTGCCCAGGCGGGTCTTGAACCCACAAGCTCAGGCAATCCTCTTGCCTCGGCCTCCCAAAGTGCTGGGATTACAGGCTGAGCCA